TCCTTTCCCCTTCCAACCCCTCCCCCTCCCCCCTCCCATTCTCCCCCCCACTCCACAAGCACACGCAACGCGCACGCACACGTACTCCTCAAACCCTTAATACTTCTGTTACCTTCAGTTCATATACATGACCAATTCAGGACTGACCTTAAAGCCAAAGCAACAATTTCAGAGTCATGAGATCACGAAGGTTTCCTGGGAAGGGGAGGAGATGGGAGGCTAAGGAAAACCCTCTTGTTCCCGCCTGGGAGGCTTTAAGGACATTCACCTGCTTGTGACAAGGTCAGCAACTGGGCCAGCCCGAGGACAACCTCAGCTGCCAGACCACGAGGCCCCTGGACCTTGCAAGCACAATTTCTGGACCCGCCCTGCTCTGGGATCTCCTTCCTCGGGTCAGTCCAGCAGGGAGAGTTATGGGTGGCCACTGGGAGGCAGCTTTGGTGAAGGCCATGGTCACCTCCACCTGAGTTTGTCAGTAGCTCAACGCATGACCCTGGTATGAAAAAAAATCGGGTGACTGTGTCTGGCCACGTACCCTACACCCACTAAACTGGGTGAATATTTTTTCCACAGCGCACCTTGATTTCATACAGATAATTCCATGCGGGTTTCATATATATATACATATATACTTTATATATATATATATGTAAATGTGTATATCCATATGTACACATATACATATATTCACACTCACACATACACACACATAAGTATACATACATGTTTTCGCAGAAAGAAGTCCTGCCACAATTTGGCTTTTTGGGACAGTGAAACTGACAACGCAGTATCTTACTCCACCAATCCCAGAAAATCAAGAGTGGTGCTTAAAAAAAATGCAGTTCCAAAATCCGCTGCCTTTCTTCCTTTTTAGAAAAAGGGTTAACAACACTTTTCTTCCAAAGTCGAGAGACTTAATTCCATTTGATTGCACCTCTGCAAACGCGTAAAAAATTTTGAAGTAGACTAGAAAATGACGCCATGACATGGCTGCGTGTCACTGTTCCAACGTCACCACTTCCACGGCTTGGCCGTCCATAGTGACCGTGCTGTCTGATATCCGGGTGGTCACGGGGGCCATAGCCACCTGCACCGGCCCGTTGCCCTGGGCGAGGCTGGTCACCACAGTCTGGTACATGCTCACAGGGATCTGGACCAGTCCTGGGGAGACAAAGAGGAGACGTTGGCGGGGACAGGGCCGAGCTTCCCGGGTGCCGGCTGGACAGGGCAGCCAGCTCCAGTCCTTCAGGATCACTGCAGCCTCAGGGGATCACATCCCTACCGTCCAGCCACAAACACGTCCCTTTTCCCACCCCATTTTAACTCTTTAAAACAGAACACCAGGAAAGGAAAGTTAGGAGAAATTGTGGAAACACGCCTCAGAGCAGGGCCTCCCCATCCTGCCAAGAGACGGCCCTGCCTGCCGCCAGCTGGAGGAAGCACAGCCCCTCACCCCCCAAGCCCATCCCTCTGATGCCGCCTTCCTCTGCAGGAAAGGCCACCCTTACTGTTCTTTGATATTCTGCCACCCTGACGTCTTCAACCCTCTTGCTCCCTATGTTCAAGTTCTCTCAGCTTGAAAAAAACGTCAGTCTCTGAGTTCTATTCTGTCTTCTGGCCAATGTCCCTTTCCNGGCCAGTGAAGCGACGTCCTCCACAACTAGACTGAAGAACAAAAGGACAGCAACTTGTCTGTTCCCCTCCCCCAATTCCCCAATAAAATCTTAAAAATAATAATAATAATAATAAAATAAAAACAAGAATCCAGACGTGCAGCCTGTTTTCCATCGCCTGGCCCCCGCTGCTTGGCACAGACAGCAGAGCTGCTAGAGACAGACACATCAGAGTTTGACCCCAGCCCTCCACTTACAAGTCTGCATTTACCTGGGGAAGTTGTGAGTCTTGGTTCCCACACCTACAGAATGGAATCTAACCTCCACAGGGCTGTGGCAAGGACTAGAAATAAAGGAGTAAATAAAGCATTTGGCACAGTGTCCTGTGCAGAGCAGCCCTTTAGTAATTGGTAGTTATAACTATAGTTTCTTAAAGGGTAGATGAATTCAGAAGAAATGTGAGTTGAGACCCGGTTGATTTAAGTTGCATCAGCAATTTTATTTACAAGTGCATTCAATATCGGGGAATAGTTTCTAGGTTTTTCTCCCAAACAGTACATCAACTAGGAAAGCCTCTGGACAGGGCTGGGGTGCAGACCTGTTGTTGCTTTCCAAGGTGGCTCCGGTTAAGTCCCAGGCTCTCGGGCACCTTGGTTCACCCTCTGTTGATGAATATTAGCCCTGTTCCTACACCTGCCGTGTCCCCAACTCTGCAGAAATACACTCCAAGACACCAGCGCTTGACAAATGTTTGCTAATAGCCCAGCGGTTTTCAGGAGGGAGAAACTGAAATTCAGAGTGGGCTGGGGACTCACTCGGGCCCAGCAGCACCGGGGATGGCATGGTAGGTGGAGAAAACCGACGCTCTCCAGCTGTTTCAGAGTCCAGTCCGTAAGTCCTACCTCCCCCTCTGAGCACCTTCTTCCTCTGTGCTGCCTCCACCATCCTGAGTGGATCTTCTCCAAGAGCTGCCAACCTAGAACAAACAGCAGAGGCCAGGTGGGAGTGCATTGATGGGTGCCGTTGACGCTGGCATCTGAGCATCAGCTGTGCTGAGGCCCCAGCCTGGCTTGAGCTGATGATCTGGACAGCTCACAGCCCACTGAGATGGAGGTGAAGGAGAAATGGGGGCTCTTCCTCACCCATGTAGCCTCTGCTCCAAATAATTAAGCTTCAGTGTCCTCCCTGATGAGTTTTGGTGCTGACACCAAAGGATCCCAACCATGGGCCTGGTACAACTCAGCCAGACTTCGGGGGCATTACTGAGGAGGGAGAGGCAATGGCTGCAGATAGGGAGGCAGGTGAACGCAGGGGGAGTGGGCCCTCTTCCACGTGAGAAACGGCTGGAAAGCAGCCTTGCTTCGGTCTGAGGCCCAGGGCACTGGCAGCCTGAGCCCTTCTTCCAGGGCGAGCCGCCTTCCTCTTCCCTGCCCTCTGGTTCTCCTCGGCTTGCTCACTGAGTCTGGGTAATTCCAGTGGACACCTGCCTCGCCAGTAGACCTCAGATGTAGGATGTAAAGCCGAGCATCCCTAGCCCAGTGTCTTGGTTTCTGTGAACACCAGATCCTGGTCTGCAGCCTGGATGATAAACTGCTGAACACACGGGACCCTTACGGAGATAAAATGAAATAATGTAACTCGTTCTGCTATAGCACTTGGTCCAGGTGGCACCTCAACATGCTGGGCTGCAGCGGTCTGTTCCTATGCATCTCTCCTCGTTTCTCATGGGCAACCGCCATGCTTTATTCACCTGGCACGTGGCAGGCATTCGTGAAGTCAATCCTGATCCACGGGCCAGCTCTACAGGGAGGTTTCAGTTTGTCTGCAGAATATGTCAAGGGTTTTTGATGTGTTGTTGAAATCAGGAGATTCATACACAAGTCTGGACTCCTCAGCTTCTCTGGGAAATTCTGAAGATGGGGCTCCAGGGCCCATCACTCCTCCTACACGGTGACAATCTGCTAGCCCTCAGGAGACAGATGCTCCCCACTCTGCCCGTCGCCACTACTCCCTTTCTTCTCACATCTGAATCACTTCTGTGTCACTCACTGATTTTACCTACCTGGTCCCTGCAGGCAGCTGAGGTAGCAGCTCCAGTAGGTGACTTGCGCAGTAATGGAAGCAAAGGTCTCCATCCGCCCCACCAAAGAGACCCCATCGGGGTCTTGCCAGGCCAACAGAATGTACTGTTGTGTGGTAAGGCACGTCGGGAGGGACGCCGCCCCCATGAGGAGGTACTCTAGATAACCCAGCTGTTCCCCGGGTGGCCAACGGCAGTGGGGTTTGGTTGGCTTGGCTGTAGTCAATCCTTGTTCTCTGGTCCATCGTCTTGGTGACAATAGATGACAGTGTGCCATTTGTGCAAGAAGGGAGAGAGGTGGCACTGGCTTTACTGAGCCACTGTCATCAAGGAAAACATCTCTGGCCTTCCCTGTGAAACTATTCTAACTATCATCCCCTAAAAACTGACCCAAACATCCAACAACAGAAAAAAAGGGATGGTGGAGGGGGCAAGAAGGCACCAGTCCAGGCCGAGGCAGAGTGGGCACAAGCATGGCAGTGCAAAACCACTGGGGGGTGGGGGCGGGGGTGATGGTCAGGAAGGGCCTGAAGCTGGGGATGTGGCAGCAGGTACAGCTGGAAAGGTGGCGTTGCCACGTTAAAGCAGTGCGCTGGGAGAGAGCCCAAGGAGTAAGGACTTAAGGAAACAACGAATGGCTTGGGGCCTCTGCTTCGAGGATAACCCAGCGTACTATTGTACACTCACGTGGGGAGAGCCCAGATGCAAGGCGCCATCACCCACCCGACTTCTAATGGGGAACGCAATGAGCCACGACAAGAAGGACCCTAGGACAGAGGCTTGCAAATTATCTTCAGGGTTCTTCAAACTCGAATCACCCGTACCCCCTTCCCGTCAGCATTTTCTAAAACCGATTCCATGTGTGACGGGCAGGAGACCCCGACCCTGTCCTAGCACTCTCCTGACGGAGCCCCACAATGACAAGGGGCACAGTTCCAAGACCACTGAGCTCGAGTACAAGTACCTTTCACAAAGCTGAACAAGTCACCCCAAGAGAGAGTTCCTAGAGGCCAGGTGCTCCTACAGAGATGAACAGTTCCACTTGCTGTTGCCACAGTTTTCACTATTTATTGAATGAGGCAGTAATAGACAGAATGGAAAACAACACAGAATCCATGCTCTGCTACTTGGGTTTTGCTTTTCGTCTTCGTCTTGGCAACTTCTCAAACTATTAGGAGGTTATTTCACCACAAAGGAACACGGGCTTTAAATTTAAAGTCCCTGGACAGCTTCACAATGACGATAAAAAATAATAATTAAAAAAATAACAAATTGTAGAACTAGGGCTGTTTATATGTAAATTTCCCGTCCCTCCCCCCATTACGTACAGAAAAAACATACAAAGAACATTGGATAATTTTATATAAAACAAGCAAATACAAGAATCTGAAACTTTTCTCAAAGGCTGAGCAAGACGTGAGTTCTCTTTTAATGTCTCATAAAAAAAAAAACCACATTAAATACACTATCGCACACGAGGGGGGAGGGGCCGGGAGGAGGGAGGAAGAGTTGTCCCTGTACTCAAGGAGCGAGATTTGGCCTGTCGAAAAGTCAGGTGAATTTAGCCACTGGAGACTCAAGGCTTGCAGCTGAGAAATCACAGAATTTAATTAAGTTCCAGAGAACGCCCTGACCAATCAACACCCGTGAGGAGGAAGCTGGGCGGGGCCTGATTCAGGGTCCCTTCTGAAAAGGCCTGATCCAGGAGCGCACTGAACACCCTCCGTCCTTTTCTCTTCTAATGCCCCCGTTGTGATGGCCGACCTTCCTGAGCCAGGTGCCACTGTCGGCTCCAGTCTCCTCTCTGTTAAGCTTCAGAAAGTTACAGGAAAGGAGAAAATTGCTCCCACTGGTGTGCTCTGGTCTTTGAAGGTTGTTTTTCTCCCTCC